TGATTTTTGAATTGGTGTAAACTAAACACCTTATTTATGAATTTTTCCCTTAAAATAATCATCCTTCAGTTAAGCTTATCTACGATCGATCCACATTGTGATGGAGTCGAGATGGACCACAGAAGAACTAGATTAGCCCATCAAAAGTCTCGGGGTTGGCCCAATTGGGAAAGTAACATGGAAGAATATATAAGTCAGATCTTTACTACCCTATTTCATTTCTAAGAAACAAACTTTAAAAGCTCAAAACTCATGTTGTAATTAATAAATATTGTATATAAAATAAAGTATAATAAATATACATCCTAAATAACGCTTTCAAAGTTACTGTTCTAAATGAGACTTTCCAAAACAGCAAATCATAAAGATCGAGTAAAATAAAAGAGCCAGATAGACCTCTCCAGATCAAATATTCTCCATTACCACTGTCGAAATCCGAATGTTCGAAAATCATGGTCACAAATTGTAAGTTATCTGAAGATCCATTAAAAATAGAATCTATAGAGAACACGCCGGAGCAAAATAACTTCGATTCTCATAGTCGAGATCTGGTTAATTAAAAATCGTCGGACGATTGAAATCACAAATTGAAAGCTATGTATTAGAATTTTTTAAAACAATGGTAACAATTAAGATCAGAAAAACCAATGCCCTGCGATCAATTTTCTTGAATTGGTAACATATGAACTATGACATGTGACCACTAAACTGTTAAATGTGATATTGATCCAAAGCCTCGTGACCAATTCTCTTAGATTTGGGACCTATGGACAATGATCTGTTAGCTATTCAATATAACATGTGGCTGCGAAATGTTACATGTGAACTTGAATTTGTGACCTGTTATTAGTGTGCAAAAAATGTGACATGTGATTTGTAATCAGTTATATTGATCTGTGACCTATACAATATAACACGGGACCTATAGAGTGCGAATTGTGACATGTAAACATGATCTGTTATCAGTTCTATTTGATTTGTAACCTATGGACATTTATATGTGACCTATGCACTATGACCTGTGACCTGGTAGATGTGACTTATGAACTGGTAGATGTGATATTATTCTAGTAGCATGTGACCAGTTCTTTTGGATCGGTGAAATGTGACATATGCACTATGACATATGACCTTTGAACTATTACATGTGATTTGTGACCTGTAAACTATTCCACCATCGTTGATGTCACACAAATCGTTGGTGTCACTTCAAATGCACAACCTGCCTCCATTACAACCACCACCACTTGCATCACACCAACGCCATCGATGTTAACTGCACGACAACCAACCAACACCACAAAAGGCAATTCAACAACCTATTATCACCATCTGCACGACAACTCACCACCACCTCTTGGACCACAACCCACCGCCACCACCTACATTACAACCCACAACCATCACTACATACACATCTGATCCAAAATGAACACCACCTTACCTCCACCTCCATACCACCACTGCCAGCACGACCACATTCCACCATCAAACTATAGTTGCTCAAAACTAAATCTACACTTTTATTCTTTATTGAGTGAAAATGGCATCGTCTAATAGAGACATGTTACAACCATAAATTTTTCCCAAAACGACGTTGTTACGACATGGCAATATAATAGGACAACTTTGAATCGTGAAAATCTTCGACGAAATGTGAAACAAATTGGATTTGACGAGCGCTTTTTTCAACGATTGTGTTGAAGATAATTGGAGATTTATCCATTAGGGTTTCAAGATCCATTGTATATTATTAACAAAAACATGAAATTTTCTTTGCATCAATTTATAGCTGTGTGTATATATAATATGTGTATGTATATGCGGTTCATTTTTGCAAACATAGCTTGATAGAGAGTTTACCTTCTCTTTCTATGAAAGGATAAAGTTATGTTTGTATTGGTGTTGTTCTCATATGAGTGAGAGAGAGAGAGAGAGGGGGGGAGAGAGAGAGTAGTTAATGATTAATTATTAAGAGTGTATTTGGTAGGGATTTTTGGGGAATAATTGATTTTTGAATAGTGATATGATGGGAAATGTGTGGTTGAAAAAGAAGAAAAAAGTATTGATGTGATGGAAAATATTATTTTATTGAAAAATGTGTGGTTGAAAATGAGAATTGATTTACTGT